TCAGTAAGTTTGCTTAACATAGGACCTAAACTTCTGTTAACCCGCTCCACCTGTCCATTAGCTTGAGGCGATCCCGTGGCCACTTTAATGTGCTTTATATTTGCGTCACTTAAAAACTTTTCAAATTCCCCCGAAGTAAAACCACTACCTCTATCTGACACTATGCAACTCGGTTTGCTATATGATCGAAAATAGTCTTTTAATGCACTAACAACTTCTTTACTATTTGTTGTTTTTGTCGCATATAATCGTAAAAATTTCGTACACCCATCTACCACTGCTAATATGTATTTCTTTGATCTACTCTTATCCACTGGTCCATAATGGTCAATATGAATAATATCAAATGGTTTATTACCTTTGGGTATGCTATGTAATACCCCACATTCCTTGCCTGCATTGGATGAAAACGCAATACACTTTAAACAATTTTCTATATGTCCTAATGATTTGACTTTCATGTTCGGAAACCAATATGTCTTCATCATTGCACTAATCATTTTATCCCTACCAATATGTCCTAATTCATCATGATACTTATACATAACATGATCCTCCATAGGTGCTGGTACATAAAATAATATCCTGCCATCATTCGTTTTCCTATATACTACCCCATTTCTCATTTCAAACAATTTCAGCTCACCTTTTTCTAACAATTTTCTAATATTTTGTATTTTCATATCCTTCGTCTGGCAAATTACTAAATTTGTTTCTAAACTATTTGCTTCTGTTATCATAATTGTATTATAACATCTCGACAAAGCATCGACGTGCTGCATCCTGCTTCCAACTCTATGAACTATTTCATAATCAAATTCTTGTAACTCTAACGCCCACCTTGCTATCCTTGGATTTAAATCAATTTTATTTAAAGTCAAAGCTAATGAGTTACAATCAGTAATAATTTTAAAACGCTTTCCCTGTAAATATATTCTGAATCTTCTTAAAGCATAGATTATCGCTAAAGTTTCTAACTCAAAGCTATGGTAGTTTGCTTCTGTTTCTGATGTGCGCTTCGAAAAATAAAAAATAGGATGAAATTTTTCATCTGCCTTTTTCTGAAAAAGTACCGCTCCAAACCCCAAGGCACTGGCATCACAATGCAATTCAATGTCATCTCTATGATCATAAATTGACAAAACTGGCGCTTGTAACAATTTTTCTTTTAAACATAAAAAACAATTAAGCTCCTTTTCACCAAAATTAAATTTTTTATCCTTTCTAAGTAAATCATACAGAGGTTTTGCAATAATAGAAAAATCTTTAATAAACCTTCTAAAATAAGAACATAATCCTAGAAAACTCTGCACTGATTGAACTTTATCAGGCATAGGAAAATTCTTAATAGCTTCTAAACCCTTATCATCGGCTCGAATACAACCTTTAGATATATGAAAACCCAAATATTTAACACAATCCTGCATAAACTCACATTTATCTAACCTTAATTCCAGTTTATTTTCTGCCAATCGAATCAAAACTTTCTCTAAAATTGCAAAATGTTCATCTATATCTTTGCTTGCGACCATTATATCATCCATATAAACTATAACCTCATTTTCTCTAATCATGTCCGCAAATACAGTATTAACAAATCTTTGAAATACTTGAGGGGCAGTTTTAAGCCCCATCGGCATTTTTAGAAATTCGTATTGACCCAATGGCGTCACAAACGAAGTGTATTTAACCGAGTCCTTATCCACAAATACGTGAAAGTACCCATTTTTTAAATCAAGTTTCGTAAATATATTTTTTCCTACAAGTTTATCTAACAAATCGTCTATTAAAGGCAACGGATAATTATCTCTAACCATAATTTTATTAAGCCGTCTAAAATCGACACACATTCTAAGATCCCCCGTTTTTTTCTTTACTAAAACAATTGCTGAGGCATATTCTGAACTACTGGGTTGTATAATACCCTCTTTTAAGTATTCATCTAACATAAGTTGTAGTTTTTCTTTTTCCGCATATGATAGTCTTCTAGGTGAACAACTAAATGGTTTTTCTTTTCTAAAATAATTTTCATCTCGCCCCTAATGTTGGGATTTGCTTGCTTCTTTGCATTTATATAAGTGCTTTCTAACATTTTTATAAATTTTTCTCTTAATGCATAATCCACTTGTGTCCCAATCTTATATTCTCTTTCAGAATCCACTACATTAATTTGCATCATGCTACTTTGAAAATTTTCTTCTAACACTCCTCTAACTAATTCTTTTGACTTCTCATCTAACAATTTACTAGCTAACAATCTATTATCTAACAATCTATTATCTAACAATTTACTGTCTAACAATTTATTATCTAACAATTTCCTGTCTAACAAACAATTTTCTGCTAACGATTTATCAACCCATTTGTTTTCTACATTTTCACAATCCATATTCATTTCACTATTTTCTAACAATTGATCTGCTGCTTCCACTAACTCCACTTCATTTATTCCTTCCTGCTCCAAGTTTGGCCTTATGTTGTCTTTACCATCTAATAGACTTTCAGTACACTCATTACCATTCACATCAAGTTCACTTAAAGATAATTTTATACCATAAAGTTCCATAAAATCTCTACCTAAAACAATATTCCATCTCATAGACTCGTTAGGCACCACTTTTAAATCAAAATTAATTTTATTACTGTTCTTGAAAATGTGACAAAATATTTTTCCGAATACATTTAATTGGCTTTCATTTAATCCAAAATATAACACTTCATGTGTGTGTAATTTAATATTTGTTGGAATACATTTTTGTTTAATAAACGAAACAGGGCTGCCCGAGTCTATGAGGCATTCTGAAATTATAGATTCGTTATTACTACTACTAAAATAAATTACTAATGACCTTACAAAATTGTTTACGCCGCTGTCCTCCGTCTTCACCTTCCTCTTCGGGCACTGCGCCATTAAATGCCCTTCGTCACCACATCCGTAGCAAGATCCCGGCTTCCTCTTTGGCTTACTGCAATCTCGTGCCCAATGTCCCTTGGAGTTGCAATTGAAGCAACGAGAATTTTCTTTTATATCTCTGCCCTTTGCTGCTTCCGACTTCATCAGCAAACCACTCTGCCTAGGTAAGGCAACATCTGCAAATGCTCGCCGCATCTTCGCCGGATTATCAAAGCACTGTAGTTTTGCCTGGATGCGTAGATTTTCATGTGGTATTCCCTCGATAATGCCATCTAATAACTCATCGTCGTCCATATCCAAATCTCGAGCCAACATGCACTTGTCCTCAAAGTATACGCTGAAATTTTCGTCCGATATCCACATTCGTAGCAAATTTCCGACGTAGCTCAATTTTCGGAAGTTTTCCACCAAACGCCTCCTTCAGTTGATCCAAAACTTGGTTTATAGGCTTCACCACACGTACCGGATCTGCATGCAGCCACTGCAACGCTTTTCCTTTAAGCTTTGCAATACATAATAATTGTCGCTGCATGTCGTTCAACTTGTGCAATTGTGTAATATTGTCAAACTGAGCAATCCAATTTCGCACTGGTGTATTGCCATCGTACTCCATTAAAATCTCTTTGGCCAATGAAAACGCCATGGATGCCCAGTCCCCGAAATTTTTTTCAGCTGCCACATTTCTCTGAATTTCACAACTTGCATTTCCTTGAGCATCATCTTCTACGTCTTGGCATGATGTATCGTCGTCTCCCTCTAACTCTTGGTTTCGTCCATGCATGCGTAATTGTTCCAGAACATTCTTAGCGGCCTCGATTTCTTTGTACAAATTTGCCAACGCTTCTGTTCCTTTAAACATTTCAGCTTGTTGCGATTGAATTACGCGTCTTGTCTCCGCCTCCAGATGATCATCCTCCAAATTGTCCACTCTTGGTGCATTTCCACGTTCTGCTGCTGGTACAGCATTAAGACGCACCAGCAACTCAGCTTTTGTGCCTTTTGTGGACAAACCCAATTCGCCAAGCCATTTTTTTAATACCGCCATTGCATAATTATCACCAACTATATCCATTTTTTTCTGTTCTTGATCCCACTTCTGAATTTGTAGTAGTCTTTATTATAATTCTGTAGTATTCTTTATTTTAATTCTTTGCTTTTTAGCTTTTTCACATGCGTTCTCTTCTTAGTCAATCTCAAAAGCCATTACACCAAGGATGGTATCTTATCGATAACTTATTCCATCACGATCATATGGTAACTCTTAATAAGTACTACCCACCCGTTACATCTGGTAACTCTTAATACTACCAGCCTGCTACATTAGAAAACTAAACAAGTTGTGATTTATTGATTATTAATAATATTTCGAATGGCTTATAGTTGTTTATAGTTTGAATGGTTTTAGATTGCTTAGTAAATTTTTTATTAATCATCTGGCCTTCTAAAAAAGTAAGATTCAAGCATACAATACAGAAATTATTTAATTTCACCTTCTCCTTTTATTTTCTATAGAGGTATGTTTTGACATTCTGAATTTCAGTTAACTATTTCAAAATTAATATTAAGCCTTTGAAGCAATTTGTTAAATAGGAACATGCTGCCAGTATTTCAGAAATATCTCTTCACATTTTATTTTAGTTTCGTTTTTTAAAAGGACTTAGAAATCTATAGGGTACTGGCAACCTCGACTACGCCCCTACTTATTACTTCTATATTTATTTTGCCACTCTCTCCCACTCTCCAGAACCCATATACCCCCTTAAACCTTCTCATTCCCTCTCATCTCTATTTGTGTTTGTGTTTGCCTTGTGGTTTCGCCATCGCAACCAGTCCCGGGACGCTTTTTAATCTTAAGCGCCTTCCACTCGCCACAGTTGTCCAGGCCGTGGGCCAACTGTCCCTTACTTCTGTTCAGTCTGCTTGGCTCCAGCCAGCTGAGCAAATATATATAACCATTTTTACCCTTTGCCGCAGGTCCACCTGGCGACTTATGGCCGGCTTATGTGCTCGCAAACCAATTAAAATGGCCAACGGAATTGTAAGACCCCAGACGCGAAGGCAATGCCAGCAAATTAATTTCAAAGGATTACGACTGGGCCTGGAATTGTATTTAGTTGATTCGTTTCGGATATTCGGTCATGGTAAATCAGGGCCTCCAAATGAAGTCCTCTGTGTGTGCCATTTTAAACGTGGGAATTAAGTGGTCGGGTTTCTTGGGTATAAAGTGTCATGTCATTCTGCAACAGCAACTAGCAGCCTTTTCTTGTTTTTGAGAGTCTAGGTAGGGGCTTTCCCTTTACTGTGTTTTGGACTTCTTGTGGATCCAACCATCGGTTCACTGTTGGCTGCTTTTTTCAATACCGCAGATGCTGCCTCGGATCTCTGACGACGGTGCATTTCCACACTCTGGTTAGGATTCAGGTTCCGAAACACGAACCGATTTTCCACGAAGCTTTCATCTTCGTCATCCTCCAGGTTGTTTCGATCCTGTTTAAAAAACTCTTGAGGGCGCTTACCTTTCCATATTTTTATGCCTATTAGGATCAAAAGTCCAATGATCAGTCCAAAAAACTGAAGGTCGTTCTTTAAAAAACAATCCGCCAGCGAATGTATCAAGGAAAGTTTTTCAGTAATCTTAAACATTGCATCAGAATACTTCGTAAGTAAAATTTGTAGCAAAAACTTTCGACTCGTTTCGATAAGTTGCTCGGAATGTACTAAGAAATGTTTGTACATTTCTTTGAGAAATAAGCAAACTAGGAACTTTTAAAACTTCGCTTGCTATGTGTTTATAAAAATGTTTCTAATTACAGTTATTTTATTAGATTTTATTATTATACTTTAGAGCTTCTTATTTTGCGTAAGAAAAGTAATCAATTTTCTTAATTAATCAAAACAAATTTGCATACAAAATAAAATATTGGAACAATTGTTAGAATAATTAAGGCTTGAAATTTTTATTTTTCGATTGAATAAAGAAAAGTTTTAATCCGTTGCAATTTAATTTATTTTGAGTTACTATATATAAGAGAAATAGTAAGAAATCAAGGCTCTGCTCAACAATATCAATGTGGATTTGTCAGAGCTTACTCTTGAAAATTAGTTGTGCTTAACCACTGAAATCGCAGTTTCAGACATCGAAACAAAGTCAAAGGACACAGACTTGTGTACTGTTTACTTTCTGGGAGGACAGTTCTCAAGGACTCAGGATCGGTGACAGACTTATACTTATACTTATTCTGAGCCTGACCGCCACTCGAGGGTTCACGAAGGCTCTTAACCCGCCGCTCGAGGCTGTGGCCAAATCCAAACCACTAAGGAGGGGAAGTGGCATGAAAATAAATTAAAAATGTGTTAGACTCGCACCCACACACCCATACCCCTGCCACACTCACACCCACACATACACACTGGCAGTGTGGACACTTATCCTGGCGGCCGCATACACAGACATATTAAGGAACGTGACTTAGCTGTCCTGCGACAACCACACACTCGCATATAAATTTAGCATGTTATGAAAAATGTATACAAAGTCGGGGGAGTGAGTGAGTGACTAAAGTCCTGACTGAAGGCGCTGCCTTTGTCCAACTGGCACGTAGTCCTGGCCACGCCCAGTCCCGCCGGCGAACGCCCACCGCCTACCGCCTCCCGCTTTTAATGACAAAAGTTATGACGACAAATGACTCGGTTGACTTTCACTACGAAATCAGAGCCAGAGCTCCACAATGGGACCATGAATCACTTCCCGCTGACTTGACTCCGCTCGCAGAATTCACTTTTGCCATTTGGCCGCCTTGATTTGTAGTCGCCGTTAAGAGCGCTCTTCATTTATCATTATGCAAATTATGAATTTAATTTGAACGACGCGAAACGAAACGAAACGAAACGAAACGAAACGCGAACTGGCCGTGCAGCTGCGGTGCAGATAATAATGTAAATGTTTTAATGCTCCACTGATAATTATGCAAGTCTTGCTGCATTGGCGAAAAATTCACGCTCGACCGCAGTCGCCGTCGCTGCGTGCAAATTGAATTTGTTAATCAACTGTATTTAGGCTTAATTGAAAGTGCGGATAGAAGCGGGAAAAACAAGCGCACTTTAAAATTAATTTAAAAAACAGAACAGAACGCTTCTCGGGGGATTTTTCGTAATCAGCAAACACATTTACAAAGTAGTTGTCGACTTGCAACAAATTAATATAATTAAATTGTACATATTTGTCGGGATCAGATAAGCAGGACCTAAATTATTCCGTTTCTGGCATCCATAATTCTAAGTGGCTTATTAGTGTTTGCCTTGGCTTCGATTGGGCAAAGCCAAATTATGTTTTCGACCAATAACCTTTCCAAATTAAATTCAATCCCTGGCACTTCACACTGGTTATTAAATGCAGCCAACTAATTTCGAGCTGCAGGCGAAGGACACACTTCCTTTGAAGCTGTCAAATAAGCCTGAAATGGAAAATTGCATTACAAGTTTGGATGGCTCCTACTTCCCCTTTTCCAGGACTGACTTTAGGTAATGTTAAATTTGAGTTGATAATTAGGCCAAAAGTAAATTGGCTCGAGGCTGCAGCTAGTGTCACGAGATGTCTCGAATTTGTGCCTTTGTTAATAAGCAAAACTGATGTACATCCCACGTGAGTATTATTTACTATGTCGAACATTTGCCTCGGGTTATAGGGCTGCTCAGACTACGTTAATTTGATTTTATTACGCATACGCAGTGTTGTCCAAGCAATAAATACATGTACCTTTAAGTGCTCTGTCCGAAGTTTTCTAGTCCAATAGTGTGTGTGTGTAGATTAGCTATATCTGCACTGCGACAGTTTGAAGCGTGTTTGGCTAAAGTTGATTTACTCCTTTCCAGAGCAGCAATTAATTAGCATGCTTTTGTTTACCCATCCCCCGAACATATTGAATTTACACTTTCAGGTGGCACATAAATTTCCCACTGTTTTGGTTTCAATCTTATGTAGGCCGTTTAGCTATAAGCATGACGTATTAGTTGGCAATCGTTTAAATTTAATAAATCAAGTTAAAGGTCAGTAGAACTAGAAGACATTGCTCAAAGATCAAATACAAAAATGTATAATCAAATATAAATATTTCTCTGCAATTTTCAAAGAACCAAAACGGATGAAAAAGATTGCGAATGAGGCAACTTTTTCTGCCGCAACTTTCAAACTAATTCGTTCGTCGCCGCTTCTATCCGCGTTCAAATTACTTTGGAAATCTTTCTAAAGAAGCCGACGCCTACATATTTCCACCTTTTTTAATATTTTATGCTCTTTATAGGCGCACTGTGGGCTGCATCTGATGGCGTTGCCACTTTTGCCTTTGTGCAATTGCTTTTTGCGGATATTGTTGTTAGTTTTACTTTTGAGATCCGTGTTGGTTTTGCGCTATTTGTTTTTTTTTTTTTCATTGTGCGATGGCGCTTTTGTTTTACACGGCCAGCACTGAGACTGTGGTTTTTGTAGTTGCCGGCTGCTCCGGCTGCCGTGTCCTATTTGTATCCTGTTGGCACTCACAGACACACACCGACACTCAGATACACCGATATACAGACACACACACACACACACATTCTTACACGTTCACTCGCATTTATGTCTATTGGCGCGCGTCCATTTCCATTTCATTTCCGTTATTGCAAAACTTTTCGTATTAAATATATTTTTCTGCCAGCGTTTGTTTCATTTCGAAGCCTTTTTCCTTTTGCGATGCCGTTGTTGTTATTCTTATTGTTGTATTTGTTGTTTTTGTCGTTGTTGTTGTTGGTTTTTGCACTCTAGCAAAGTTGTTTGTTGCTGTTATTTCTGGTACTTTATGCGCCGTGGCCATTATTGCAGTTGTTTCCTTTATTGTACAAGTACAGGCATAAAAATCCCCGTATTTCCATATAAATATTTTGCGCACTCGCCCGCCTTCAGTTCGCCTCATTTATTGTGGCCTACTTACGGACGAGTGTGCTCGGGCCAGCGGCTTACAAATTGACATGCAATTAAATGTAAGCCACAGGCATTTATTATAATTGTTACACCCTTCAGGCCCGCTTTTCCCTCGCTTTCCGCCCACTTTCCACCCGTTTCCCCCATTTCCCACCGCCTTTCAAATAGTGACGCTGATTAGGCAGCTACCAGCTACAAACTAGCGCTTTTGCTGTCGTTCTCTGGCAGCTGCAATTAGCATGCTGCGCTGTAATAAATAAAGTAAAATTAACCACAATACCCCAAACAAAGCGCTCGGCCAAATTGTCCCCATTAATTTAATTTGCAAACAAAAAGTCAGCCGAAAGTTTGCGTTCTATTTTTGGCCGGCTTTACTCGTAGTTTGGATTTTTAAACCATTTATTTCGCTCATCAGTATTTTAAGACTAATCAGATTTCGGCTTTAATTTCGGAAACAAAGTTATTATTATTCCGGCGCATATTATGGTATATTGTTTTTCGTCTGCAATTCACGTGTTTTGTTCTGTTGGAATTGATCAGAAATGCAAATATTTTTTTAATTTACAGCGCCACAGTCCAAATTGGTTTGACCTATTCTTCCAATACTTTATTTATGCTCGCATGTATTTTGCAAAATTGAGCGACCTTTTTTTGCATATTTTATGGGCCAATGCATTTAGAACGTTCATGTGACCACAAATTTTTAGCGCATTTGAATTAATGACACCGAACTTCAGCAAAAAATGTTTAACCGCAAATCAGGTTAGTTTTTATTTCCCTGGTTTTTTGCTTCAAGGCAGTGAGGTTAGAGAAATATAATGAATGTTTAAACTGCTAATTTTCGTTAGTATTTTTTATGTAATTCACTAGCAAGCAATTGGTATTCACTGTTGATTTTCCAGACATGTGATTAACTTTCTAGGAAAGCACAGCATCGCTAAACCAGAAGGACATGCGATCCCCATGTGAAAGTTTCTGTGGAACTTTTATTGAGTGATTCCTTACCACAGAGTCGTATCGTCTAAAGTTTTCATTACCGGCGTTTAGGCGATCGGCCATTTCGGCGGCCTGTTCTTTCAAGGATTGTCTGTAGGATAAGGCCGATTCTGATTGGATATAACTGGGACCGTCCTTTGATTCGGGGAGTACTTTTGAATTGTAGGTAATCGATCTAATCTTATCAGACGTGGGGTCTTCTTTGCCCTTTTTGGATGAAGTTTCTTCTTTTGCATCTTCTTTTTTAGAACCAAGGGTTTCTGCGTCTGAAGTCTTGGATTTCACGGATCGCTGTGAAATGGAATCAGATTTCTGTTGTTTGAGAGATCTCTTAGAATCTGCAACTTTGGTCTTTGAATTGACAGAGCTTTTAGTGCTAATTTTCGAGGCTGTTTCCGATACCTTTGATTTAATTGTGGTGGAGGAAGCCTTAGCTGCTTCAATGGACTTTGTTGGCTTCAATATGGATTTGGGAGTGAGTGAGGCATTTGAAGAGCTTGTATTGGAAACAACAGATGCGGCCTGAGAAATTTTGGAAGCCTTTGTAGCAATGCTGGCCCGACTTGACTTTGAGGCGCTGCTCTCTTTGGAGGCCACACTTAATTCCGATTTGGATGAATTGTTTTTGCCTTCTCCACTCGACTGGCGATTCGACTTCACTGGCATCAAAGTGCGCAGAGATCCTTTTGAAACTGCATCCTGCGAACGGGATTCCTCGGCGAGTTTCACTTTCGAAACGCCTCCTGCATCGATGCGGTCTTTTTCATGAATGGCAGCGGCCTGCTTTTTTGGCCACAGCCATCTCCTCGTTGATGGCCTTGGAAATGGCCACTTCGCCTGACTTCGACTGGTCCAGCTTCGGTTTGCCATCCCGGTAGAGCGAGGCCTTGGAGCCGCCTTCTGCCGACTTTAAATATTCGGGCTTGGCCAAAAACACCGGTGGCGGATACGTAACGCAGGTTGGAATTTTGAATTCGGAGCGAGCACCGCTGTTCGGCGGTCCCACATTGAACGGATTGAAGGGTTCAAGGTCGAGGTCATCGGGAAACATGCTGGCCAGTAATGTTGGCAGTTGCCTGTAGGAAAAATGGTTCATTACCGATATCATCAACTAACGACTACTCACTTGCTTGGGCTGTAATTTAAAAATAAGGCCTGAACGCTTTCCCGTCCTTACATAGGTAAGCCAAACGAGTTTTATCTGTTTTTGGGAGGCTTTTAGGCTAAAAATATTTGAAACAAACTGACACAAAAGTCAGTATATACTGTGCTTTTAGTTCGCCAATAATATATTTTCTTATTTCAACTCAGATATTAAGGTATGAAATACGGCCTGCAATTATTTTACACGTCATTGAAGAGCCAACTTTGTTTATCTCTTATCCAAAAAGTAATCACTTCCCCTTTATTTTGCTTTGCCTTTTTGCGTACTCTGACAGTCTGGGTTGCCCACTTGAAGTTCGTCGTCTTGGCTTAATTAAAAGTGCCTCCTGCTTCTTTTAAGCCTGTGTATCAATTCAGAGAAAACGTGCTGATAAGGTGTGAAGTCCTTTGTCTCTTTTTTTTAATTATGAAACAAAGGCCTGCTTCAAGGAGTTGTTGAACAGGAGATGCATTTGCGGAAGATGATTTCAGAAGGGCGGCTCAGACATTGCTGTCATGGTGCTATTCTGGCAAAATCCAGTAGTTTGATCAACCTTTCGGTGTCCGGTTATTAAAAAAAAAAGTATCGAAATTCTAGAGAGATAAGTAAATCAATTGTTTCGGCATGTCTAGTCTTCAGCGGTCAGCTGGCAGCCCGCAATCGCTTTGCGGTCCACCGCAAGTGCCACAAAACTATGTCTATGGCAGCGGACTAGTTTTCGGTGGCAATGTGTATCCTGTTCTGGTGAACGGTTACCCCATGCAGCCGCCTATGGTCGCTCATCAGGTGGCGGGACAGCAGCGCATTCAGATGCAACAGCGACCGAGGAGTCCGCAGATCCCGGGGAACACACCCATTGTTCTTCCCCAACAGCGGCCATGTCAGTTAAGTGGCGCCCGCGTAGGGACGCGATGTCCTGCGCCCCAGAACACGGCCAAACCGAATCAGGCGAGCTTTGTGAAGTTTCCAGCTCCTGTAGTCAGCCAGCAAATGCGTATGCAACAGCAGCAGCAGCAGCAACTGCAGTTGCAGGCGCAGATTTTCCAGCGACAGCAAATGCTGGCGGCCATGGGGAATTCCTACAGCGATTGCGGCAATTACAACCTGCAACAAAATGCGGGCGAGTCCGAGGGATGGAGTGGCTACGCCATGATGAGTCCCATGGATGCAACTAAGCCCTATTCCTTCGGCTGGGGCCTCACCAATTGAGGCTCTTCTAGTTGTATCTGTGGAAATATTATTTATTTTGAGTTGTAAGGAGTGGAAAACTAATCTAATCAAAATATGGTACTGAGCTTTCTAATCATCCTAAAGGAATTTCCCCTTGGTACAACTTGGCCATAATCTGCAGTGGCTCGTCCGGGATCCGTTTTCTGCACTTCATCGAGCTCTGAGGTTCTCTTTTAGTGGCGGGAGCCTCCTCGACTCGGGGTTGGTTCGTCATTTAGTGGTAAATTTCCGTCTTAGTTGCCAACGAGCGTCAGACGTGACATTTTGCAAATTCCGTTTTCAGCATTTTGTAATCGTTCCGGCATACGTGTGCCACTGAAAGTGGATTCCCCACATCCTAGCTCTGCTTTTCCTGCTTTTTCTCAGGTTGTTCTTGCAACATATATGGGATTGTCGGAGTGTGTGTGTGGCTAAGGGGTTGCTAAGTTGCAACTGGTTCGGCAGTGGCTTCCGATATTTTCACTGGTTTTTCCCGCTCTTGCGATGATACCCTCAATGAAAGCCTTGGTTATACAAGGCCTTTAGATTACTAAAGGAAAAATCATAAAAATTTGTGACACGAAAACAGGGAAAAGTTCGATTCCATACAAATTTTGTATCAAATATAACATGTATTATGTCCTCATAGCATAATTTTATGTAAGGTATTTACCTATTGGTTTGAGAACTTTGAAATTTCTTTCTTTCATTTTATTTACGAACAAAACAAAGTCAATTAATTTTGCCGTTTCGAGTATTTATTTCAATCATTTGTATTGCCACATTTCCCAGCAGGGATACTCAAAATAATTACACATCTGAATGCAGATTTAGAATATATGAATATTCTTGTTTTAAATGTTCTTTTTTTTGGAAGATTATTTCATTTAGCAAATTTCTTGAATTTAATTCATTGTGCAGTTCATTACTTGTCGAACGCAGCTTTTCTTTGGATACCTTTTCAATCAATCATTTGGTTTATTTATTGCGCGAAATACATAAAAATGTAAAAAATGACAATATGTAAAAGCCACACATGGTTACCACGGAAGTTAAGGGTTTTGTGCAAATCTCTTCCCTTCAAAGCTCCCTTCAAAGGGATCAAGTTTCCTGCTTACTGTGATAATTAACGTTATTTCCATAAATAACTTTCTTTGTGGCACGCCTTCGGAGCAAAGCTTCTGACGTCATCAGGATTTGCTGGAGAAAACTCAAGCCGCAAGCTGCATGTTGGCAAACACACACTCGCACACACACATTCTCCACTCTCTAATGATGATCCCCAAAGTCAACTTGCTAAAGTAACACGAGCTCAAACATGCACACACACACTCACACACTCACGCATACACACACTGGAATAGCGAACTCATAAGCACACAGTGGTATTAACGCCATAATTCGTAAGTTACACACACACAGGCGCCGCAAAAGGATTAAGTTATATTAAAGTTGTGAGCACTGCATTTTAAGTTCGCCTCCTTTGACGTTGGCGAATATGCAGGAAGCCAAGGAATTTTTCACTTACTATACGATCTTGGGCGAAAAAGGACCACGCAGGCCGAAAAGTGCGCGATGCAAATTTCAGATGACCCACATTTAAATAATAATAATATTCGGGGCTTGCCGCCCGATTTAAATGCAATATATGGCATAAGTTTACGCATTGCGATCCGCTCTCACGAAATAACCCCTTGGCTTGTATAAATTTGCAATATTTTTATATAGTTGCACGCGCTGCGGTTTTTTTTTCATGAGAGTTACAGGTCAAGTGTTAATTTTTGTTCTCTTATTTTATTTCGTTTTCAGTTTTATTGTTCTTGTCCTCGCTTTTACGTGTGCGCACATTTATGCGAAAAGTTGGCGCAAAAGTTTAATTTAAAAAATGCACTCGCAATGACTTTGACCATCCCGCTAAAAACAACAAAAGTTAAAGCAAACGAAAAGAGCCACAAAACCGACAACTATGAACTGAAAAGTCCTGAAGGTTGCAAGACTGGAAATTAAATCAAATAAATTGACTTTCTTTTGCCTTCAGTTTTGCCCATTTAGATCAATTTACGCTTCGCTTTGTCTTCCAGGATTTCATTAATTACCATCTAACAGATTTGCGTTTTATTCTTGGGCTTTCTTGGTACTAAAAGTGAAGAAATGCTTAAGCAAAATTAAATTTCAAGTGTATAAGTTCAAAGCAGTTCCACAATTCGTTCCACATTCTCAGTAAAGCCAAATTAGAGTACCTTGTCTGATTAAATTGGATGTGTGGCTGCAACTGGCAGTGGAAACACGTCGAATTTAATTCGTAACCTGTCATATAATATTCAAGCTGCTGCTTAACACTTTTGCCGAAATATGGTTTACGACCCCACGGTGGCTAATAAAACTTATATGTCTGGGAGTCGTAAAACCCGCGCAGCAGCACAGTTCCAGACTAAATGGCATGCGATTTTTAGGCCAGACTTTTCGGAATTTGCGGAGGCGCACGGAACCGGAGCAGCCAACTTGTTGAAGTGTTTATTGTTTAGAGTCCCGCGGCGTCGGCATCGGAATACATAAAACATTTTTTCGTTTTAAATAAAAGATACGCAGATGAGGGTCCTGGAGAGCGGGTAAGTAAACTCTTCAACTTCTGCACGGTTTGCGTGGGTGCCTGAAAATTGGATACGCATCTCCAGTCTGAAGTATGTTTCGCAGACAGTTGTTCAGGGGTTAAGACGTGGAATCGCGTTCCATCTTCTCGAAATTAGTTCGGGGCGTCTAGAGTTGACTTGCATTAAAATTCGATATGTGTGCGAAGGAGTGGCTTTATGTGAAATGACACGGGGAAAAGACTTCACTTGGGGATGGTGAACTAAGCCGCATATTAAACAGATAATTTATAATACATATAAATAATAAATAATAATAATAATAACAATAATATAACTGTTATACATATACATACATAGATATATATGCATATATATTCAATTTAATTTATAATATCTCCATCAAGTAACAATTCCTTGAAAATTAAACTGGCAGAAGTTAAAAAACAGTTGAGATAAGAATAGTTATTTTAAAAACGATTCCAACCGTTGGTCAATCTAAGTTCTGTGTTATTTGGAAGGCATTTTTTATTGTACGAGTATTTCCCGAAGTGAAAGTTTGTTGATGTTTTAAGAAAAAGAGAAATCTCTGTCTCAAGTGCCAAACTTACGAAATTAATCTTATGATCTTCCCCAGTTTGCTTCATCACACTTATATTTTAGTTTAAAATGGACAGAATTAGCGTTATGGGCCGAAATAAGCTCCGTCGAACTGCTCGGCAACCACGGAGAAGGCGTTCAACCGGAGGAGTGGAGGAAGTCCCGACCACTACACCCAAAAATCTGATTGTAGATACATCCTCGGAGCATAAGACCTTGAAGCAGCGGGTGTTCCTGTACATTCAACTCAACGAACTGACGAAGCTCCCAAAGACGGAGTATCCGTTGGAACTGCATCTCTACCATCCAAAAAACACGCTGCAGAAGATGCAGGAAAAGTACACCACGGAAACCATCATCTACCAAAACGAATTCAACTTGCAGAAACCCGTTTTCGCTTTGGGAGTGATGCAGGATGACATCGATGAAATGAATACTTTCAGCGATCAACCGCTGGTGATTTCCCTCTACCAAAGAATTCCCAGGCGACGCAAGGGATCCAAATTAAAGTCGGTTGGGGTAACTCCGGAGGCTTCCGAAAATAGTGAAGGTGTTCCCATAAAACCCAGGAGATCGAGTATGAAGAATTCAGAGCGGGTAAGCGAGGAGTTCGGGGAGGAAGGAATAGGTGGTATTTTCTTGGAGGAAAGACTGGAGCTTCTGTCCCGAGGTCACTGCGATCTGCTTCAGCTCTTTTCCAGCGGCGTCGCTTTATAAGCGACATTACCATATTCCTGTACCCGGAGTTTGAAAACCTTTCGGAAGCAGCGTCCACTGAGAAAATCACCACCTGCAGCCTTTGGCACATGTACTCCATTCTGCCCATTCTGAAGAACTTTAACTTCACCAATTTGGCGTTCATGACCCTGGAATCAATTTACAATGCTCCCGGGGATCTGCATTCCCAATCCGCTGAGCTGGGACTCAGTGTATCCTTTCGTTCAAGAGAACCAGAAGACGAGGATGGCACTTTAAAAGTGATTCCATTGTGCACCTACTCAGGATTCATGTCGCAGATCATCAGCGACCAGAACACAAGCATCGTTTGGGAGAACATAAAAAGGGATCTGAATCCCGACATGCACAAGTGTTCCAACCAGATGGATACCAACTCGAGGGTGCAGCTGCCAAGGCTCTTTCGCATGTTGCTCTGGGAACAGGACGTCGACTTTCAGATCCCAAGTATCGATCCTGTGTGCGATTCCGCCTTGATCAACAACTCCCTTCATCGCTTTGTGCTCAACGAGGATATGCGAAAGATCCTCGAAGAAGCTGTTGTGCACAATGACTACGAGTTGTTGTTGGAACTTTACCAAGAGACACCTAGCAATGTCCTTTACCAGGGAGTCCTTAACCCGAGCATCTTTGGGTATCCAGGAGGTAAGCAAAAGGAACTTCTTATCCCTTTGATATTTATATTTTCAATGATCCATCAGTCAACTATTGCCGCTTTGCAACCCAGTTAAGCCCCCTTATCGTACCTGAAATTACAAGTGAACCGCTTGTGCAAGGACCAATGTTCTGCACCTTCAAGATCTGCTTTTTTCAGCCAATTTGCGAGCGCAATGAACCCCTCGACAAGTTCAATGAGAGCCTCCTCAAAAGGTCAAAGCTGCGAAAATGCTTCGATATGGAGTTCCTGAAGGAGGACGAGGACGACGTGGATGTCTTGCTGGAGCTCTATCGCTCCTTCGATGATCTCATCTCCGATACAATTGCCTTCATAATTAACAAAGGTGTGAAGGAAATCAAGGAGAAGAAGGAGTTCTTTTGCTGCCAACTGGGCAACCTCTGCAATCTGGTGCTGAAAATCTGCAGCTGCGATTTTAACGTGCGAATGCCAACGACCACAAACATAGAATTCAGAGTAAGTTATTTCTATTTTGTTATATTGGGTCCTAATTTGTTCATTATAATTTAATTACTATAATTCCTTGTTTTTAGGAAATGCTGACACATATGTACCAGGAACTGATGGATCGCATTGAGGGTATTTTGACTGCCTGCAGCTGGAAAAACAGCTGCGATGTTGCAACTCGGAGCGAATTCTGGGACCACAGCTTGAACAGGATGATGAATGAAATGCGACTGGCCAGCAACACTGGCCAGCGGGACTTGGCCATACAGATTTACGAGGAGATCGACAAATCCACTTTCAACCGAATCATTTTCGATTTTGTAACCCTGCTCAACAGCGTCGAAACCTTGCGATTCGAGCAAGCCGCGAAATACTTCAGCACACCGCGAACGACTGATTGGAGTGGAAATTATTTCACGTGAGTTAACATAAAAAGATTTTTATTGAAAGCCAGAAAAAATAATTAGGCCAAATTATACCAGAAATATATTATTAACTTTTTTTTTTATATATATATTTATCAAAATAGTTTTGAAAAATATTTATTTTAATTATATCGCTTTCTGCGACTTTATTTTGTCTATAATATCTTTGGTCAGGGTTCACTATTTATCTTTTAAAAAATTTTAAATTAAGGAAGAACCTAAAATAACGTACAAATCTTATGTATTTATTTTCTGAACGCAAGAACCTTAACCAATTCAGCCTTCAGCTCCAAATCTGAGTAACTGGTTTCGGATGTCGGGCACCCAACTTAAGCATTTTCTCTTGCTTTGTTTAAAACACTTATTTTGTCATCTATATTCCCTAATAGCGCAGATTGCTTTTGCAGCTCTATATCAACTACATGATAGATTTAAAATCGTCCGATGAAGAAGTGGTGGCCTCTGCAAAATCCAATATGATCGAAGCTCTGCGACAGTTCGCCTATAAAAACAGTTTGGAAAGTGAGATCTGGATCCTGTTGTACTGCTTCTACAAGCAAGAAAATTATTTGCCGGGAATGGAGTTCACGCGGTGGAAGTTTCTGAATCTTATTCAGATATCCTCCAAAGAACTAAATTTCATTCCGTGTTCTTTTTACGAACTATACCTGCCGCTCTATTTTGAAATGAATAGCTCTTGCTCCCCGATGATTTTACATTTCTATCCCGTTTTCAAACTATTCACTCGTTTGGGAGCATATGCATTTGCGGAAGCTGTATTTTATGAAATGGAACAGTGTTTTACTGCAGCAGAGGGATATCTTATCAAGACTACTTTAAAGATTCTACAGCAACAGATTGATAGCAATTTTAAGGTGGTTACTATGCCAACGGACAATAGTGTATCGGGAAAGTTAATGGTAAGATAAACTATTTTCCTAAAAAACAGAACGAAATTACGTATTTTGGATACATAATTAGAAATGTTACCAACTGCACATTAACGGAAGTGTCGAGTATTCCCGAGGACGCTGTGATGAAGCCATGAAATACTTTCAGAATTTATTAACTCTCACTGAACCGAGTGATTGGTTTCTATTTAAACTGAGTTTTCTGCGCCTCGGAAAATTGGCCTTTGCAAGGGGTCAATATGAGCTCTCCGAAAAGGCCTACGATGCTTGTGAACCTTCCTCCCACAAACAAAGGCACTTTATAATAAACTATGGAAAGGGACTGGCACTCTATCATGTTAGTTTGTATTAGGTAAAATATATTTTGGTTACTTTACATTACTTTTCTTAGCTTAATCGTCTGGAAGAAGCTATTCCCTTTCTTTCTCGTTGCACTGAAGCCAACATTTTTGTTCCCGATGTCTGGGGATATTTGGCCACCATAAACATTAGACTGAACCGGAATAAAACTGCCCTCGAATGCTGGAAAATGGCCAAAATGGTATGTATTTATGTATTGAAAAATACTCAGTAATATAAAGTACTCTTCCTAAAAGCAACCTGAATTAAGCATCAGCAAGAAAGTTTATGCCGAACTGGATAAGATTCAAATCTCAGATGTTCATCTGCTGGTAGATGATGATGGAAACCCCGCGGAAAAGCTCTCGAAAATGGACTTCATTACTTTGTAACTAAGCCAAACTAAATATTTTAAGCAAGCACGAGAAAATATAAAGTTCGGCGACAGGTGAAGCGGTCCTAAGCAAACACATCCGGAGTCACGCCTTTCATCAAGTTTTAGCAACGTTTATCACTTAAATTTAGTGCCCTACATCTGGGCAAAATTAAGTATACGCACACGCACATGTTAACACGGTATTTCGGTCCCTCGATGTCCTTCGCCTGCCTCGACGACCGGGCGCTTGTCAAAATTTTAGCCGCAGAGCGGCAGCACAAACGTGAATATGCCAACACAATGCATTTTTGGCCAAGGGCAAACCGCCACAGCAATAGCAACAACAACAAAACCAACAGCACAGAACAGAAACAAGTGAGATACGTAGTTAAACCCTTTTGGCCAACACTCAACCCATGACAGGTGTTTGCTCTGCAAAGCGTTTCAGGGGTACGTCGACTTTGGGGAGTAGCTTGTCTTGCCAAAAGGAATCAGAGCCTTACAATACCATTGATATCATAGTTAGTATTCCTTTTGTGAAGATAACTTAATTATTACATTTTCACAAAGTGCTGTTACGAATGTTTTCTTTTCTTTTTTGCATGAACTATTTTGACGAAGTGAAAACAAATTATGCGATTCCCACTTTTTTAATAGAAATTTGTTTAATTAAATTGAACACCACTTTTATACGATTTAGCCGATGTTCCAAATTTAATTCGGATTCCAAATGATGTTTAATTACTGAGTTTTTCTATTGAAATATAAAGTGCTACTTCAGCTTTGTCTATTTTCCGTTTTCATTGGTTATTAATCAATGTTTTATTGGCTATATTTATTGATAGTTATTTACTGATGGTATTGCTTTCCAAATCCAGAATCTGTTGTTTAGTGAATGAGAATTAATAATTTGATTTTAAATTTGAATCTTTCGACCTATGTTTGATTAGTATTTATTATACACAATAAATCAATAATAATTTAAAGTTTGAAAATGTTTACAACTTAATCTATTCAACTGTCGTGCTCAAACATTTCAAAACTTTGTTTAATTTCAACTCCTGCAGTAGTTAGAAAGTAAGTGTTTTAAGTAACGCTCTTTAAAGGGCATCAAGCATTCGATTCTGTGGCCTGCGAACGTGGTTCTGTTGTTGTTTACCTGGCTGCGAGTGCTCTAAAATCCGCTTTGACAGCTCGGCTGTCAGCTCAACTCAAACCAAGCCGTTGGGGCGTCGGTCTGGAGATCGGGTGTGGGGGCGAAGGATGCTGTACACTTTTTTGCTTGTCTTGTTTGGGGCAGACCCTCAACTACATATGCTAATGACGAGCCAGTCGACGGGGGGCGGGCCGTGGGCGTGGCAGCCACTCAGCTCGGGCTTTTGAGCTAGTTTAAGGCCAACAACTCTCGCCTGCCGGGCACAAACATACCCATACAGCCATACACACAGAGGTACACTCAGGTACACCCACAGGTACACAGAACTACACACGGGGACCCACAACACATCGGCTTCATCAAAATGAAATTTGTGAGCAAACACATAAAGTGAATCAAGTAAGCAAGCCAGGTAGTCGGGGCACATGCTGCTAATGTTTTAAGACGGCTTTAAAATGCGTTTCAGTTCTGGGTTCTCCACTCTCCTGTTTTCCTGTTTCCTGTTCCATCCACATCACGCATACGACCCGTGGGCCCTGGCGAAAGGAAGCTTTTGTCGCCCGAGCCAACAAAATCAATTAGACACATGCATTTACATACTCCGATTGCAGATGCCATCCAGAATATCTGCACTCCACCGCCACTCCACCGGCCCGACGAAACAACAATTGCAATTTAATGTGCTGCCTGCGCCTGCTAATGATAATGTTGTTATGTGCCTATTATGGCTGTTGTTTGTGGCATCTGCGGGGTTGTGGAGCTGTGGAGCTCTGGAGCTGGGGTTCCTGTTTCGAGCCCGGCTGCGAACACATGTCATTAGCATTTGCATTATGCGAACTTTGCTGTCTGACAGCACTCAAAGTGATGCAGTTAGGCGACTGCACCCGTGGGCATTCGCCCCCCACAAAACAACACCAAATGAAATTAAAGCTGGACCCAAATGAGACCGAAATTGATTGGTAAAACGGGGAACAAGGACATGATACTGATAGCAAAACTGACATGCTGGGTATTATCTAGCTTGCTGGTGGTAAAAATCCTCTTTTTTTTGAATAAATAAAGGTTGTTTGCTTCTGAACTATATTAGTTTTTAAGTTACGTATTGTGTAAGTATTAATTAGAAATTTCCAGCAAGAGATTTCTCAAATTTACGCTTATATAATTTCATGTTCAATTGAATCCAATAATGTTGATTGCCAAACATGAAACGAATCCCTTTCATATGCTAAAACATAGCATTCAAGCCATGCCAATAAGCAGGATGGCCCAAACGGAATACTAAACTTTGCTCATGACTTGCATACACGGCGCACTTGCTCCAAATATTAATCCGTATGAATTTCATATGCCGAAATTCCAAAACAAGGCCGAGTGGCAAGCCTGGCTCAACCTTGAGCATTTGGGGCAGGATGCGGCGTTTGGTGTGGAGTGTGGAAACCTGTAGCAATTTCTAATCAAAATATGCGATGGACAGGCTAATATGCAAATACCGTGTAAGCAGCTCAGTCGCAAAGGAGCTCAGCTTAATACCAAAATAGCTCAGCTCGTTTTCCAGCCACCGCACATATCTTCGGCTACCCGGCTAATAACACAGCCACAGGGAAAAATTCGAAAAAAGATGGAAATCGGTGGGGAAAACTACAACAGCTGCGTACGCTGCCCTGAAAAGTATGCAAAGATTTCGCCCTGAATTAAGTTGGCAAAGAGCTAACGTGAAATTCACACCACAATGCCTCCAGGACGAGCCGAGGGAGCCTCGAATGTTTGCCGGGGTGCGACATGAAAATTTCATTTGAAATTGAATATGAAAAAAGCGATGCCTCGTGTGCGCCGCCTGTGCGACAGCTGCTGCAATTGACAATTATTATTATTGTCAGTGCGAATGAGAGAGGTGGAAAGGGGATGAGGCAGGGGGAGAGGAATGAGGGGGAGGGAAGGGGGCATGGTTGGTATTCATATGACAACCGTGTGGCTCATAACCAAGCGCCCAAAATGCCTCGACATCCGTCGGCTTCAATAAAATTCAATGGTCGCATTAAAATCATTTAAATTCTATTGTTTTGTTTGCTTTTTCCTTGGCTCACCGGATTTCCATGTATTTCTTTACGACTGTCAACCGCACACGTACACATACACATACACACTCACTCACGCACACGCAAACTTACGCACACGGAGTGTGGCAAGCTCGGCGAATGCCGCATAAGCTGTTTTCGCTGCGGATTTAGGCGATATCAGCAAATGCATATTTAATGGGCCCGCGATCAATAAGATGTGAGGTGTGGTGCTTCCCCTCCGTCGATTAATGCATTTTAAGGCGGCAAGGGACTTAAGGACTTAAGGATGGCAGGGGAAATTTAAAAATTATAATACTGTATTTTTTTATAAAATCATGAAGGTAAAGTGGAAATCGGTCTTTAAATTCTCTTTAATATTATAAACTTAGGTAACAAAAATAGTATTCTCTTTAATATTAAAAACTTTAAGGAAATAGTGGTAGGAATGAAAAAATTAAACTGTTTAGTCTTTTTATAAACATGGTATTATATTATCAATAACAAAATATCATCAAAATAAGACATTAAAATCTTAGTAAAAAAATCTTATTAAATATCAAAAGAATCTTGTTACTTATGGAAATATATTTGTGGGATGATATTGAATCCAAGACGTACTTAGCAAGTGAAGTGATTCTTTGAACATACTAATTACATAACAAAACATAAAACTCTATTCCTTTAAAATATCGATAAAGATTTCTTTAAACACGCTTCCCTCACTTTCACTTCAACCGATAACCCCCGATTAAATTTTCAAATCGCGAAACGAAATCGTTGGCGTCATTTAAAAATCATAACTGCCAAATCCGAGTGGCACGTTCGGCATCTGTTCCTGCTCCCTTTCTCCCCCTCAAACATCTCAGGTGCGATTCCATCGGTAACCCCGTCCTTTGGCCCTTGTGCTCCGGTGTTTGCAAATTCTCAACTGCCAAAAAAAACGCGAGTACGAAACACGTTGAACGCACAACGCGCGCAAATGCGAAATGGAGAGGGGAAAAGGGTTTTCTGGCTTTCCCCAGGATCTGTCTTGTTTGCATAATGCCAAGCAGTCAACACCCACCCACCCACACAAGCACCCACACACTTACATGCTGCTGAGGAAAAAATAAGTCAGCGGTTTTCATTTTACAATTTGATAGCCGAATAAGAATTTTCTGCTGACAGAAGTCGCGGCAAAAACCGTTTGGCAAAGGATTTCCACTTTTGTGCGGTTGATTTGTTTGTTGATTTGCGTAAGTAACGTTTGAGGGGCGTCACCAAGCCCTAAATCCTTTATGGCCAAGTTGCCTTACGTTTGTCGCATTTATAAATTATTTAAAGTGGCAACGCGCCAGCTCAGCTGGCTTGGTGAATGTGTGCGCTGACCATCATTGACCCCGTGACCCCAAAAGCAACTAAGCAAACAAACGCGGGCCCTCTTAAATACACAGAAAAAAACTAGGTATTAAAAAAGTTTTTAAAAGTTATTATTCCTTTATGTGTCTGTGCTCTTCATTAAATTATGCATTTACTTATAACAAAATATTAGAGAAAAACATCTTTAGAATATTGGCAAAGGTTTGGTGAAATGAGCCTAGTTCAATTATAAATTTTCAAATATTAACCATGTGCCCTTCAAATGGTATAAGTATTATATATTAAGAATGAAATAAAGTAAATTAAAATTAATCTTCAGAAAGGGATTTTGTTCACAAGTTGTCTGCTTACTACAAAAGTACCACTGCTATAATTATTTAAATTGTAAATGATTGTAATTAACTAGCCTCCCTTTAAATATCCCGCTGTAGTTCGATTTAAAAAAAATGGCTTTTGGAGCTTTCTATCCAAAAATAATAGATGCTTATAATTAATAACAGTTAGACTATTCCAATTACGCAAATAACAGATATTATAGAAGTAATCTCAAGAC